GTTTTAGATGTTAAATTTTGAACTGGGTGCAGTGTGACAGCGACGTGAGTGTTATACACCTGATGATGGCCGTCTGAGGCCGAAACATGTAGTGTAGGGAGCAAGATCAAAGACACAAAATATATTGTTTGCACTTGAGACGGAGTTTATATCATTTATCGTATGGAGTGCAACAGGATGCTTAAATATAATATTGTTTCTCAATGATCTTGTTTATCAGTCAATTTTCACCTAAGAGGTTAGAGCCTGCAGTTGACTTAAAACAGGATGGGTCCTTTCCAACTTTGTACAGTTACTATTATTATTGTTTCTACACAGAGAACATTATTATTCCATTACACAGAGACACAAAATCCACACCTTTCCTAGAGAACTCCAAAAATTTTAATTTACCTTCAGACCACAACATAAATCATGAAAAACATACCCAACATCGCTGATGATATATCAAATCCCACCCATCTGTGTCCTTGATCTTCCAACACACTTCCACTGAGTCCTGAGCCACAGCCAAGATCTAAGAGGAAATGAGGTTCATCATCTGGTAAAGCGAGTAATTCAATAGCCCGCTCTGACATCTGAACCTGGATATCTATCATCCGAGAACTGGTAACAAAAAGAGAGTGTAAATCAGTATAAACCATAAACTTCACTACAAATGTACGTGTATATATAACAGAAAACGTCATTATAAAGTACTTGACTTACTTTTGTGTGTATTTTTTTGCTTCATTTTCATTATAAAACTGCAATAACAAGAGAAAGGTGCATTTAATAATCCACTGCGAAACACATTTAACTACTAGGCAATACTGATTACACGTGACTGTCAGACTTAACCTCAAAGCAATAAACCATGTGCAGATTACTTGCAAATGTATTTACCAGTTCTGGTGGCGCCTGATGTTCTGGTCTCGACATATTAGTAATTATCACTACCTCAGCTTTCTATATACATTTACTGAAAGAAATACGGAGCAAATACTACACTATTACCAGCCACACCAAACATAACAGTATACTAAACGATACTAAGTTCGCGGATTACACAGACGACACAAACGACGCAGACAAATAATGACAGGCACAATCGAATGAAAACTATCGCACAAATTCGAACATTTCGAACGTTGCACGCACTGTCGAGTAATATCGAGTAAGATGGGCGTTAAGAAGCCGGAGAAGTAAATGTACAGAAGGTGAACGACCAGCAATTTATAATTTGAAGCATTTGAAGAGTACCGTCCTCTAGGATATGATGCCGTTTAGTCCGGTAGAAGTTTACCGATGTTTTAGTGGATCGTGCTCGATCGTGCTGCCTTCCGTCTTCACTGACACAGGATCAGTTCTCTGTCCCGAAAATGGAGGCAGCACGGTCTACCGAAACGTCGGTAAACTTTTACAAGACTGTGCGCTTCATAGCCATCGCCATATGGACCTCAGATCTCATTTGCTATAATTCTTGTATAATATTTTGAATCAACAGTTTTTGAAGGAGTCACTTAATTGTGCCGTTATGTAAAATATTGTGTATTATAAGGTCTAAATTGGTACAAATTTTCATTGCCTTGTTTCGAACAATTTTAGTTTTGACACAAGTCTGAATTTTCATTCTGCTGTCATATTGGTGCCAGAACACAGAAACAAGTGCATATGATTTGAACCTTCCAGGTTGACTAAATGCAGTGAAGTCTTGAGCAATCGTGTTGATATTACTGAGCATGTAAGAAGGCTTCATTACAGGAGAAAGAGCTTCATATAAAAGTTCTAGATGTATTTATTACTTTTCAGTTTTCACGGTGTACATAATGATTTATTATTTATCTGCACAGAAAATCACAGGTTCAAATCTTATGTTCTTAAACCAAAAATCTGATAACTTCATAAATCTCTGAATTCCTGTTGAGGCTAGGATATATAGTTATTCTGCCTTCTTTTGATAATTTCATTGCTAGTGCAACAGGCTTTTTAGGAACAATTTATTTATATTATTTTACCCCTACTATTTTCTAGCTTTATTTTGTTTTTGTTTCATGTTTTCTTTTTCCTTCTGCCTTTAATATGCTCCCTTATAAGCCCACTCCTATCCTTTTTTAAGCATTACTTCTATCATTTCCTACTTTCCACTTCTTGCTGTTATCTCACTTTCTCAGCTCTTCTTTATTACCTCCCCCCATTCACCCATTAAACACCCTCTTGCAGGGTCAATATTTCTTTACTTTATTTCGCCTGCCAACTCCTCCTGTTTTTAATTTAATTTACTCTTTTTCACATTATTTTTCTCTTACTAATATGTCTTATTACCTCATATTTTACTTGCTTTCCTTTACCCCTTTCATCATTCTGCAATTTTTTTAATGCTTTTCCTTTATCAACTGGCCTCTTTTTATTTTCAATTTACGTAACTCTTTCTTACTTCTGTTATATTTTAGCGTCCTGTTGCACTGATTTATGTCCATGATTTATTCTAACCATCTTACAGTGCATACATTTATTCACCTTACTTTACTCTCTTGCACTACATGTTTCAGCACTAAAGTGCCATCTTCAGGTGCTTTTTGATGTACGTTGAACTACTTCATTGCATGCCCTGTTGTCTTTATACTAAAATAACTAAAATATATATTCGTTATATATATTGATAAATTTTAAATATTAAAAATATTAAAACTGTTCAGGATTTGTCATCCTTATGTCGTATCTCAATACGCGACACACCTATCTTCTTCTATTGGAGTATTCTTCCTACTTTCATGTGTGTATTGTGCTTTGTGTTGTGTCCTGCTCCTGTGACTGCGTGTGTTATACTGCTGGGCCTGCTGGGTATGTGTGTGTGTCTTCACCCTCAGAATTTATTTTATTTTCATCCATTTTATTATCTGCTCCTGCTCATACTCTTTTACCTGCCTTCTTTCCCTCCTCCAACATCTCCCATGTTGCTTTTCTGTGCCCTGATCCTGGATCTCCTTTCTTGTAGTAGCACCACCAATTTCTTTTATACATCAGAAACAGTGGGAACTCTCAATACACACTACACAGTGTCACATCCCAAAAGACCGTAACCTTCAGTCGCAATTTGAACAGAATTTCTGTGTCAATGTTTCCTCCAGTACTGACATTATGCTTACTCCATCAATGTGGTAAGCAGAATCTTCACGCGTGAACTGGAATGTCTCAAGGAAGTAAGGATGACTGCTGGCTAACAGAGGCAGTGCTCTAGAAAACAGTACAGAATTGGAAAAACACACAGACAAATTAGTGATCCAGAAGTCATATTAGCATCAACCAGAGAAATCAGCATACAGTAAAATCTTTTCAGAATCGAATCCCAAGGGACTTCTGTTGTTGATCTATATATATTTCCACTTCTCTTTCCTTCCATACTCATTTTTCATCTACTTACCTTTTTCATTTTCCACTCTTTCCAAACAATCTGTTATGTACTTTGAATATAATTTGTTCACAACTGGGATTAAGTTCTCTCCATTTCTGACAAGAATGTTCTGCCACAGAACAATTTTGCAAAGAACAGTATGGAACAAAACCATGTGAATAAAACAAGAACAGAACATTTTAACATAAATTCCTGTTCTCCTTTTCCATTTCTATGTCAAATATTTCCTGTCTACCAACAGATAATTTTACATTAATTCTGATTCTACATTCTTAAGACTATAAAATTATTTGAATAAGGAAAAACTTCAATTTAATTCAGGTTTTAATGTATTTACAAAGACATCTAAAGAACTGGAATTATTTTTTTAACATTCATAATAGGTCAAGTACTGGGAAGCATGGTGAGGAACAAATATGCTGAACCATACTATTTTTCGTAACAAAATAAAACTAACTAGCCAACACTGCAGAGGAGAGTCCTTTTGGAAAAGCGAGCAGTTAGTTGCTTGGCTAGTTAGTAAACTCCCTTTATTTTATGGGACATGAAGGTTCATTCTGTGTTTGCAATAGGGTCACTGGTCCTTATACTAAGCCAAAACTTTGTATGCATTTCCTAGTAATATTTGGCAAGGAGTATTCCATAACAAAATATATTAACAATCTTAATAACTAGTTAATGGAAAACATTTAATTAAAATATCAATCAACCAATAGTACTACTTTTATCACAATTTACTGTTACTTTAACAATGGAGTTGTCATTACTGTGGGACAGAAGTGTATGCTTTCTTTTCTGAGAACCATGTCAGTTCTTCAGGTTTGTACCACACTTTGGTATGTAAAGTTCTCCATCTGGTTCTATTCAATAATTTCATGTCTACCTTCTTATCAAGATATTCTTCCCTTTTGTGTATTTATGGTATTTTCTTTATTATTATTATTATTATTATTATTATTATTATTATTATTACTGGGGTTAGTTACTACAGCCACTACTGCATTATTGTACCAGCCCCAGATGATGATGGTGACCGTGGAGCAATTGGTGGAATGAAGTTTGGCAAAGGAAACTGTAGTACTCACAGAAAACCTGCCCAAGCGTCACTTTGTCCTCCACAAATCCCACATGAGCACACCTGGGGGTATTCATGGTAACTTACAAATTAAATTACCAGGAAGATGCAAATGATTAGCCTAAGTGCCAGGAAATAGCAGGATTGGTTTCTTTCATAGATACTGTGAGAAGTCTTGAAGATGACAATTTCCGTATCTAGCTGTGGTTTCCGCAGACATCCATCCCATTGACTGACTATTATACATTACAGTCCTTGAGGGATGTTAAATTACAGCTTCACTGAATATGTACACTATATAATTTTCTTCACCAAAGGTCAAAGCTGCAGTACTAACTGATGTACCCACACCATCATTTATTGCTATGATTTTCTGATCCCCTTCATAACTACCACCAGTGATTAATGTTCATGCATAAAACACACATAGAGTATATCACAAACTGTATCCTGGATATACAGAGAAAATGGACTTGTTTCAAAGCAATATGTCTCATTCTAATAACAGACTTCATAATTGAATTGCTATGCATATATCAAGGTATTATCATCTTGACATATCAACATATCTCATTCATAGCAAGGAATTGGTTATGCACAAGGAACAGTTTAGTGATTCCTTTTTGGTCTGTCTTTTTGAAGTGGTCAACAGGAATTGTTTACACTTAATCATTCAGCTTATTACTGTTACACTCATAAACGAAGGAAGTGCAAGGATTCATGATCTTTTTAGGTTTTTGTTCATTTATTTTTACTACTGAAAGATAAAAAAGAAAGGACGAACGAAAGAAGTTACTCTACACTAGTTCTAGAAGAGATTCATGGTTCTCATAAAGTTTAATATTATGGAATGTGACGCCATATAGCTGGATAGACAGGTACCAAATTAAAGAGTCACATCCCAGAGAACTGTTTTCCTAACTGGTTTTACTTTTTATGAAAACTTGCAAGACTCAGACAGTTAATGCTTAGGGCTTGACTGGAAATTGGAGAAAACCAGACTGCTTTGAAAGAGATGTAGAGTCCTTGTCAGAAGTTTCACAGGAGTGTGTTAATGGAACACACTCCCACGCAGATCTAAAATCTGGAAAGTGTTGAGTTTTGCTAGTAAGAATATCTACCACTGAAATCACAGTTTAATTTATTGATAAATTATATTGTACATACTAATACATCAGAGCGCACATTGGAAATATACTAAAAACACACTAACATAAATATATGGAACAAAATACTTTTATAACCCCCTATTTTGATATTAAATTTGTTATGACTTACTTACAAGGCAGTAAAAGATGTAATAATGACAATTCCCCCCTCTAAATTGTTCTCCTTATGAATGAAGTAGTCAAACAGTCCATTTTAATGAACCATTTGGAAAATAATTCACAGTCTACAAAATGTTTTTGGAGAGAGCTGTATTTTGAGACAAGTCGCAAATGTATGTATCTCAGTTGTGTAAAAAGCTAATGGCATAAGATTGAATCCCATTAGTCTGTATTATTCAATGCCAACTAAGCTATGGTGAAAGTATGATATTAGGTACTGCAGGATGGCATGGCAACATTGAGTAAGTGAACAGTTTGACTGTTTCAGATCCATAAATAGTTCCTGGAAATATAAGTTATGCAATACACTTGTTCTGTATAAATTTGTATAGTAATGTAATGCATCAGGTCAGCCTTAATGCACAGCCTTCCACAGAAACCGTGTGTAATAAACCTCAGAGTTCAGGTTCACTAAAAACAAATGTTGAGATTTTTCCATTACATGTTACATAGAAAAATAATGGATGTAGGAATAAGGAGTACAGTATTCAGATCAACTTCTTGTCTTGATATATCCATATTCGAACAATGTGTGTCATGTGCCATCCTGCTTTAATACAAGTTTCTATTTTTCATGCAAAAGACTCCTGTGATTCACCCCTCACATTTGTGCACACCTTCGTTGGATTTTTTAGAGATCTGTAAAGATAAAAAAAACACATTTATTCCATGAGAGATAACTGAACAGATCTGAATGTTTCAAGTCAAGCTGCTATGACTGCATAAGGCATATCTAAAACAGCTCTCTTAATCATCATTCCAAGGGATTTATATTAGTACTTTCTTCCACAAACCACCCCCTCCCTCCTGCTTTCCATTCTGAGGCTACATCTTACCTGGACACAATGTCTAATTCTAATGGTGTTCGTACTCGTGGATTTGAATTTGCAGTGCTGGACCCCAAAGGCATCTTGTGATTGGACAGGAATGTATTAATGGATTCATCTGAACAATCACTGTCTTGATCACTGTTGAGAAAATACCATTCATATTAGAACCACCACTGTCTTAAATTTCTAACATTTCATACAATGTTATCAGTAATCTTAGTTTCTTCTTTTCGTAGGTTTCTTTATGTACAATAATTTTTGGATAATATCAGTGGGATGTGGTTACTGTGCAAGAGAATTTATATATGTCATGCTGTAATTAATGTAAAGGTTAAATAGTCCAGTTTTGTGTAATAAGCACATAACCTTTTGAAGGTATTTTTTTTTAAATGTAATATACAAATAAGAGTGAAAAAAAAAAACAACATATTTGCCTTTCCAGTGAATGTCAATGATTGACACACTGACTATCCTGAGTGACATATTTCTGGCTCCCCTTGGTCCTACCAGGCATATATCAAAACAGAACCATAAATTAGGCCACGACTGTTCCTTTCCAAATATTTTCCAATTAATTTTATTCACTGATTAAATAAACACTAAACTACTGATCAATCACTACTGTACCTAAGAATCTGAAATCTAGTACAGACATGTGTACAAAAACTGTGCATGAAAACAGGCCTGTGTGTCTGTGTGTGTGTGTGTGTGTGCACTGAAAAGTACCAAAATGACAAGTGTGTAAAACTATGGAGTAATTATTATAGGATTCTGACGATGGTGTATAACATACAGTGATATTGGGTTTCTGGACTTTATCCATCGTCCTGGTTTTTAAGATAACTAATAAAAACACGACGTTTCGGAAACTGGATCTGTTTCCGTCCTCAGGTGAGCGAAAAACACCTATTCTGTTGGGTCCCTTAGAAAGAGGCTCTTTCTAAACAACAGAATAGGTGTTTTTCGCTCACCTGAGGACGGAAACAGATCCAGTTTTCGAAATGTCATGTTTTTATTAGTTATCTTAAAAACCAGGACGATGGATAAAGTCCGGAACCCCATTATTGCTGTATGGAGTAATATTTGACAACTCTCAGCCTTCACATCCAAACTAGCTGTGAGTCCCATCCAGGCTCCTTATCTGGGCTTAAATAAAGCAGGTGAAGTTTGAAAATAATCACCAGTGCAAAGCTGGGAAATTACACTTAGACTGCGGTTGGGACAGGCAATTTAAAAATGACAAAAAATCCAGACAGCTTTCACAGGAAAACTGTGTAGTTCAAACTATCGGTGGCCATAAAAGAGTTAAGACATGCAACAAAATTAAATCCAGTGTGGCTCCAATTCTACTTTATCCTATTCGGTTGCAGGTATGTAAATGAAAATATGACATTAGGAACATCAATAACTTGCATTCTGTGAAAAACATATAATTTTTCTATAGTATTTCATTACCTTGTTTCATGAATACAATACTTAATGAATGTTACCTACTAATAAAGGGTCCTATTATTCATAATACCCAAACACTGAAGGAGCAAGAATCGACCTTTTCATTGGCCATACTTCATCCACCTATTAGCCATTGGCAGGGATAAAAATACATGAATTGTTACCTCCATGGACTTCCATTAGCCTTTATGGTATAGGGCTTAGGCAAAGGAAATCTGTGCTCTTTTATTTAATTAAGGGCTGGTGTAAGATTGAATCCACTGGCACTGTAGTCTCAGGAGGCTGTTGTGCCAGCCCATAATGTTATAGCTGATGCATATAAAACATTGGAGGAATGATGACTAGTAGAAGAAAACCAAAGTACTTAAAGATAAATAAACTCCAGTGCAATATTTTTCAATGTAAATTGCACATGGATTTCCCTGGGATTGAACTCACTCAGACCTCTGCTCTTACAAACCAGTGCCTTACTATCTGAGCTACAGCAAGACTGAAATCCATCTTCACCACTTATTGCATGACTGTACCAGCAAAATGCAATTCTGGAAAATGTGGTACAATGGTTTGCCTAGTCTCTGCATAATTTAATCCCTGGAAATAGTTCTTATATTCAAAATCTGAGGCTCTTATGGCAGTCAAAATGGACAGCGGACACAGCAGAGCACTCGCTGCTTGCTTGCCTACTTTGCTTACCCTACAACCCTGAAAATTGAGGTAGTACTTTCCCCTTAAACATCAGCAAACTTCTACAGGGACTACTCTGCGTCACAGACGGTTAAGATAGCACTCTTCAGTTCTGATGTCTAACCTGTCTGAGTGATCACTCCCACTGCAGTCTTCTAGTTCACCCTGGATGGCTGATTGTAAGTCTTGGATTCTAGTAAGTGCAAGACGTAGATCTCCTCTAGCAGCCGCTGCCTCAGCGTCAGCAGACTCAAGTCTCTTCTCAAGGTCCTTCCGCCTCTGTGCTGCCTCATTCTCACGGGCCTGTCCTGCTGATGCTTCCTCTTTCAGTTCACGTACTGAGCGCTGCAGCTTCCGTGCAGCATCCTGCGCAGTCTGTTCTTTGGCTCGTGCCATTGCGGCCTCCCCTTGCAACTTTTCCACTGTCTCCTTTAGTCGTGAGATCTGGACCTGTTGGAGACATGAAGAAAGAAGTTTGAAAGTCTCAGTGATTGTTATAGAACTCAATGCATGGAATTACATGTAGGATTGAGAATTACTGGATTTATCACAGGCCATACCAACATTTACACACTCACACCACGGTCTTCTGGGTTATGACACTGTATAGTCTTGCAGGCAGGACATCAACATTTTGGAGGAACATGATGCCTCCATCTTCAGGGTTAAGAGTCTAGGGTAAGGAGCTGGCTCACCCTTTACATTTTAAACTTGAAGGTGGAGGGGACATGATACTTTGAAACAACAGTATCTGCCTACAAGATAAAAGGTATCATAACCCAGATGACCAAAATTAAAACAAACACTGTAGTGGATACCTCAAAACTTAAAACTTACAGATTGTTTTAAGAAAGTAGTCTTCTGGGATATAATATTATTATTATTCCAGTATTACCTTATTTAACTCGCTACCCACCAATATCAAGTTGCACATGTTATTAATAACTTTAAACATAAATTGAGAAAGTTTCTTATAAAAAAACTCTTTTTATTGAGTTGAAGAGTATCGTGATAGGAATAATAAATCTGACCTTGGGGTATCCCCATAATTATAGCTTTGTATTTTAGTTGCATGCATTGGTTTCTTATACATATTTTAATTAATTTATTTATTTTATGTTATGACAATCTTATGTAAATATCAATGTAATCTGGTGACAATTTCTGTATCCAATTGTCATGTACCTGAATGGATCGATGAATGCTAATAAATACAATACAATACCCATGCAGTCTGGTAGAAGGTTACCAGCATTCCTCTAAAAATATTATGTGTAACTTAAACATAGCAAATAGCAAAAACAGACCTCCATCCTGGCTCGCGTGGTCTGCTCCAGTTCCAACCTTGATTCCAGCTCTTTAGTACGTAGTTCTAATCTTCGCTGTGTAAGGGATGAGCTGGGATCACTGTGTGTCTCGATGCTTTCAAGACGAGATGATAGTTCAGCCAACTGTTCCTTGAGGGCAGAACGTTCACTCTCCAGCTCTGCCACAAGCCCTGCTTGTTCTTGCAGAGCCATCTGGTCCACAGACAGCTGTTGGACTACTGTGCGGTATTTCTTCAGTACCTACAGAACACATCTGATGTAATACTGCGATCATCAAGGCAATATAATAACTGCTGTACCATGGTGGTTCTGTGCTTGAGGTTAGCTCTTCCTAATGGACCCAACAGAGTAGGTGTTTCCTACCCCATTGTGTGAGTATGGAACTAGATTCCATTTCCAAAATGTTATGTTCTTTAGTATATTGGACACTGGACAAAGCCCAAAAACCCCGGTAATCAAGACTGTTATACACCACTGTCAGAACCATTTAGAATCTATCTGAAATTAAACTCTATGACCTTATTTTGTGTAGAATCTATCTGAAGTTAAACTCATTGACCTTATTTCGTGTAATTATATATTTATAACATAAAGTTGTTTCTGTGCTTAATTAAACACCGCACTGTAAAGACTGGTGGAGCAGAGAAGGTGTAGCTCCATGAATTATTAACCTTGGCAATTGATGCATGTGAGTGGCCAGCTTCATGCCAAAGCCACTTTGAGTACGAGTATGAGGGGTGAGCCATAAAACTGGCCCTCGTGTTGCGACCTTCAATGATCTATTTATTCTAACAAGAATGCTAATTTATTGCACTGTTTCTTGAAGTGAATGCAGACATATAGGACAGGCTGTGCACATGTCCAAATGATTCATCTCTAAATCTATTGAATACATTTTTATTACAAATTTAATATAGGGACTTTCCAGCAAAGTTATCAGGCGGATTTATCAGTCAAGAATAATCCCAGCTTTACATTAACTGAAATCAAACTTCATGTGTTTTCTCAGAAACGACCCATTGTATGGAAAACTGATACAGTGAAATCACCTTTCTCACATTTAATCGAGGTTTCACTAAATGGGGATTGTGCCAAACTACACCATGAAATTGCTCAGCTTCTCAGATGATTTATTATATATGAGGGATGGATCTTTAATAGTGGCAACACTGCTGTAGACGCCGTGCAACAGAATCAAATAATGTCGCTTATACCACACATTAGTTACATACCTACCTTACCTCAGAGCAAATGGACTCTCCCTTCCCATGTCACGTGCATTCACAGTGATGAGAAGAACAGAGCCTCATGTTAGCTGGCGGTCTGATGTATTGTTGTCATGATGTTTTCGAAACAGGAACAACAGAGTTGGTTAAAGATTGAATGTGCCAGAGGCCGTACAGCATGACAGTGTCATCAAGGTCTTCAACGGGCTTGCAGGGAATCTGCATTGCCTTACAGAACAATGGCAAGGTGGATAAAAGCCTTCAACGAGGGACACCAAAATGTGGCAGACATGCATCGGCCAGGTTGTCCACGTTACTGGAGAGTGATCGACGCCATACTATGCGTGAGCTGGCTCAAGAGACAGGATTAGCGCAGATGACTGTGCTTCATATTCTGAGGGAACGCCTGGGCATGAGAAAAATTGTATCACGATGGGTTCCGCATGATTTGACCGAAATGCAGAAATGACAAGCTGTGGCTGATTTGTTCGATCGATGGGGCTGGGAAGCGCTGTACCATCCAACATACTCCCCGGACTTAAGCCCTTGTGACTTCAACTTGATTCCTAAGATGAAGGAACCACTTCGTGACATTCGCTTCAGAACTGTTCCAGAGATTCTTCAGGCAGTAGACTGCTCCATTCAAACTACCAACATAACAGGCACTGCTAAAGGTATCCTACGACTTCCACATCGCTGGCAATGGGATGTACACAATGCTGGTGACTATACTGAATGACTGAAAAACTTCGAAACATGCATCTATTTTGTATCAGTTGTAAATAAATAGTTGCCACTATTAAGGTTCTAACCCTCGTATAATTATGATGAAAGGGTTTCTTTATATTTCCACACATACAAATACAGTAATATAATCAATATCAAATTAATCAGTAACGATTTCCAGTAGAAGGAAAAAAATAAATGTTGAGTGTTCTTCTGATCACTACTGCACTAAATTAGGATATGAGTTCTGGAAATCTGAATGGTTCTCACACTAAATGCAGGTTAGCTGAAAATCAAAATTCACTATATAAAGAAAAATAATACCCTTCTTGGCTGTGATCATAAAAATATTAACTAAATATGGGATATCACTGAATGTGGAAGCAGTAAATCAGGGTTTCACTTAATTATTCCTACTTGAGCCATGTTTGAAATGTGAGAAATACTTCATGAAACATTAGGACTAATTTCTGACTCTGTATAGTCTGATGTCCGCAGAACGATTAGCTTTGAGTTGGACGTGTAATATATTAACACCGGGACTAACGTGATATTAAGAGAGCAAAGAGCACAGTTGTAAAACATGAGTACTTCAGCAGAGCACCCCCTCCCACTCCAGCTACACATGAAACTATTTCGACACCAGTGTACATGATAAAATAACTTTACACTACCTCTGCTAGTTCCTCCTCATTCTCCTCAAGTTGTGTGCGGATATCAGAGCGCTCCCTTATGGCAGCTGCTGCCCTCTCCTCTGCTTCTGCCTTTAATCGCTGTGACTCATCTAGCTGTGCCTGAACTTCACCCAGCTCCATCTCAGCACTCTGGCGAGCCTTCACTGCAGCTGATCGCGCACATTCCACATCCTCCAGCTATAACACAGTAACAATACCATGTACACAAGTATTCTCCTATGTACAAGAAAAGGATATGAATATAAAAATTGCAGACTTTGTCAAAATACTGGGAATAACAAACAAGATCTCAAAACCATGATTAATTTCTAGGTGTGACATTTGACAAAGCAATGATGTCTTATGGCACTAAGTTGAAGACAATAAGAACTGATGAGAGAATATTGATATTCAATAAACCTAAAAAAGTGTTTATATTTATCACCCATAAGATATTAGGGAGATGTATGTGGCTAGCTTCGAGTCCTGTATAGAAGAGCAATGCCTTTTGTCCCTAGACCACTATGATCAGTGGTCACGCCCCCACAACAGTAAACACAATATCTCTGACACGCAAAACTAACAGAAATCGTATGCACCTGGTTTCTCAGCTGACGGAGGATTGCCTTGCCAGGAGAATCACCCCTTGAGCGTTCCAGTTGTGTCTGTGCATCCCGTAATAAGGCTTTAGTTCGTCGCAGATCCTTGCGTAGTCTGTGCAACTGATCTTCATCTGTGGCACGGCTGGCACGACCTTCTTCTTCTAAAGCCCCCAAACGTCGTTCCAGCTCATGTTTCTCTCTCAATAACTGTGTTCGCTCCTCATGCTCACTCTCCAGCTGGGCCTCCAAGGCTGCAATATCACAATGTCATTACCACGGGAACTCCAACAAATTCCATTTTATCAGAATCTCTAAATATAATATGAAAAGACATCACATTCTGTATGTCACTTTTTTAACTGTAGCAACATGATAGATATAGCTCAGTTTATTCCATATCAATCTTGGGCAAGAGTTGTTGCAACAGGCTTGAAAAGCTTAAAAATACAAGAAATTCAAGAAAAATGAATAGGAGGGGGAGGAAAAGGGAAGGAGCAAAAGGAGGAGGAGGAGGAGGAGGAGGATGTGGAAGAGAATTGATTATTTTTTCGTTGGGTCTCCAAAATAAAAAAAGAAGCTATGACAAAGTACTGTACAATTACTTATCCACATAACTAATACTTACAAATTAAAATTTGAGCACTGAATAATTTCCTGATCTCTTCCTAGTCTCTTTCATCTTCACTTCCCTTCTTATCATGAGTTTTCAAAACTGGCCATTCAACCTAGTACACTCATCTCCCTTATTCAGTAACATATAACAATACTTACCTTTGACTTTCTTGTGAGCATTGCAACGGACATCTTCAAGTTCTTCATCTCGCTGGGCAAGTTCCCTGCGGTTCTCCTTACGTTGCTGCTCCAAACTCATCTCAAGACGCAGTTTTGCCTGCTCCAAGAGCTGTACTTGCCCAGCAAAGTCATCCAATTCCTCCTCCTATTCAAACATCACAGCAATTTCCTGCACTACATGTCTGTTAAGTTCATTTAAGTTCCAGTAATACAGTGCTCCATGAGTGCATACTGAATCTTTGCAGCATATGAAGTGCCTGAACCTGTTTAAGTTTTCAGGTTTATACATAATTTTATAAGTGCTTTTTCATTTGTTGATATTCAGTGCCTCCAACTGAATGTATTACTGAACACAAAACAAGAGATACAAACAAAAACTCCGTGATTTTAGTCCGCAAGCGAACTATACTGACCAAGCGACCACCGCTCGTCGGCAAAGTTTAGTACCAACTTTTGAGGATAGAGGGTGTCGCGTGGTCAGCGCAACGAGTCCCCATGGCCGTTAATTTCTGTTTTCTAGATCAGCAAGAGATAGAAAGGAAAGGCAATTAAATTTAAGGAATGACTGCAATCATTCAGGTGAGAACCTTCTGTTTTTCTGAACAGTATGGTCTTCTGGGTTGTAATGCAGTGAAGTTCAGAGACCACCCAACATTCCTGATGCAAATATGGCTTCCATCTCCAAAAACTGTAGGACAAGCAAGAAATACTCGGGGCCTGCTGTCTGTTTCTCCTGCTTTCTTCCTAGGCTTTCTCTTTAACTTTGAATATGTAGATAATGTTCTTCTGAAATGTCAGGATCTCTCCAAACTACACAGAATTACAACTGAGATGACTGTAACTCTTCATGGCTACTAGTATGAGAACTCCAGATCTAATTTGTCTTCCTGTTTCCTATCTAAAGATTGAAATATTGAGGCACTGGCAGATTCCACATTATATACGAGCCCTTGTCCATGTCATACTTATTTAAAACAATATGGCACAAGAAGTAAAGCTGTCTCTGTGATAGGCACCATACACTGAAGACAAGCAGAATCTAAACTACAAAGAAGTTGTGATCAACTTCATGCTTTGGCCATGTTACTCTTAGAGATGGAGCTGCCAAACATCTATTATAATATTATGAAGTGGAATACATTATAAATATTAGAGAACTATGTGGTTAAAGTTGGTTAAAGAAATTATATCTACTTTTAGCCATCTCAGTTATTTATATACAAAAGGACCTTATATAACATTTCTGACAGGTCTTAAATAAAAAAAGACAACCTTACACTCACCTGTTCCTTCAGCTTCTTGTCCATCTCATGTTTCGTCTTTTTGAGATGAGCCACCTCCTCTTCAGTCTTGCCTCCAAACGTGAGTTCATCAAGCTCTCGAGCCAGGGATGCCACCTTCTCTTCCTTTAGTTCCAGCTCCAGACGAACAGCCTGCATCAGAGTAGCAATTTAGAAAATCACTTCACTGTTGGCACAAAATAAAATGTAGAATGAAACAAAGCAAGAATTTGAGTGCTCTCTATTGGGAAGCAAGAAGCAAAATGGGTTAAATGATCCCAAATGCAGCCATTGGAAACCAACCAACCAAAGTCAATAGAAAGTCCGTTGAGTGTAACAATGTTTTTTAGGTCACTTCTTTATCACTTTTGCCTTACATGTTTCGGTTTTAATAAAACCATCATCAGAGGCACATGGTACTAACAAGAAAACACTGGCGTTGTTTAACTGTACACAGTATATATGCTGCGTGGACGCTGCTACAAATGTCGATGTGTAAAAGCACAACACTTGCTAGGAATATTGAATGCACGTTCAACTCTCGCATTCCATCCGAAATTGCCCTCAAGTTAAAACGTCACTATTAAAATATTTAAAAGTTTAAAACATTTGAAGTAAAATGTTAGGCTCCTCCTTGTTAATTCATCCCGATGATGGGAGATGTCAGCTTGAGGTTGTATAGGCTTATGGTTGGATGTTTCCTATGCGTTGTGTGTTGTGTACACAACTCGACGGACTTTCTATTGACTTTGTGATTGATAGTGTAACGGACCAAAAATGAAACAATCCAACCAACCAACTTTACTTTCATGGAAGGAACACAATTATTTAAAACAATAATAAATAAAAATGCCAATACAGTTTGAAGGAAACTGTCAATGTTTAAAGGAAGAATGAAACAAGAAATGAGAGCTGGCCAAGAACTCCTGAAAGAAGATGTGCTGGCCAAGATAAAAACCAACCAAGAAAAGATGATGGCCAAGTTAGACGCTCATCAGGAGAGGATGGAAGCCAAAATGGATACCTGGTGAGTCATATTGCAAAATCCACTTTTCTGGCCCAAAGATTCAGTCTTCAGTAATGATGCTGATGTAAACTTTTCGAAATTTGACAGCAGAATGCTTGGTTGACTATTTTGGAGGGACAAATTCATACTGCATGATGCCTTTGATATCAAAAGAAGTACCACAGCACACTTCATGCAACCATCTACTTAACTGGTATAAGAGTATTATCTTCTTGGCTTCAATGCTATGTAGTTCAGTAGAATTGGACTACAGACCATTACATCATAGAAGACTGTACTCTTCAGCCACCACTGCACGAATTTCAAATCCAATATACTTAACTAGTACTTTCCATACACTTTAACATGATATGAAAACTATTCATGGTCTTCTGCAACTTACGCTAAGATTCTGTTCCAGTGAGTATTTCTCCGCAATAAGCAGCTCCTTTTCCCGCGATATCCGGTCCTTCTGCTGCTTTTCCTGACGTAACTCATCATGCATTAATTGGAGTTCTGAATCAAACCTGAGGGAAAAACACAACAGAGGCTACAAACACTTCAAGTTCCCTAATTACAAACCTTTGGATTTCAATGAACACTTCAGAATTTTGATCCTGCTGGGTGTGGCAGTTATTTTAACTGATTCCCAACGTTTTGGAGAAACCAAATCCACTTATACCCTGAAGATACAGAGAGCAGCATTCTCCAAAATTTCGGTAGCCACCTAACAAACCACATGTTATCATAATCTAGAAGATCAATTTTCACTGCCATAAAAACATCAAATGTCATTGAATGCAATACTTACGGTGAAAAATTAAGTACCCCCTCCTGTGTCTAATGTACGTTGTGTGTAAAGGGCATTTAAATTAGCAGACTTTTGAGAGTATAAGACAGACTGAAGAGGTGTATCTCCTGAGATGTAACATTCAGCAGCGTGTTGAAAGTCAACCAATGTTTCGGAGGAACATGTAGATTCCATCTTCAGGATTGATGAGTACATCAAGCAAAAAGCCAGCACAATGAATGTAGCAAGCAGGGGTGTGACAATACAGACTGCTTTCCATTAAAAATATTGATCAAAATCTATGTGCAATTTGTAGTGCAAAAATATATGGTAAGTTGTCTTGTAATGGCAGTATACAATGAATATTAATGATATGATGAAGGGTTAAGTGAAACCACTATGTACAGCATACACTAGTTTGCAGAGAATGACTGATGATATCTTATATGTGGTCTTATGGAAAAGGGAATCAAATCAAAAGTTATCAGTGGGTAAATGCATCATGAAACTGTCCTTATTAAAAGGATCAAGTTATGTCACTAAAGTATAAAATTTCCATTCAGTGCCATAATGAAACAACTTGTTAAGTACAATATTGCTTAAATGTCTAAATTGTTTCTTCTTCTCCTGAAAAGCGATAATTAGTGACTTAAGCCTCTTTTTTGGAACACCATCCCAGCTACTGTTAAACAAACAAAGATCCTGAACACCAGAAAGCCAAATGCCTTTCCCTCTTTGTTTTATGTTAAAGATTAAAAACTTTTGACTAACACAGGAAAATTTAAAACTACAAAAATTATAAATTCATTTTTGCATTTTTATTGTGCCACGTTTCTTAAATAGCGTTTTCCTGTTCATTCCGTTTCTTGATTAAAAAGATTAAGTATGGGAAGACAAAACTCATAATCTAATACAAGTAAATAACTTTACCCTAAATTCAGGCAAGTACTATTTATGGTTGAAGCCTAAACTAAGTATCGAGATTACGATAATGTGCCATCTGGTCAAGCCCATGGTACCATAGTGGAGTGGCTTGATGAATATGAAAAATGGAATGATGATTGGTAGGAGAAAACTAAAACATTTAGAACAAACCTGCCTCAATGCCACTCTTTTCATCATAAGTACTACAAGGACTACCCTGACATTTCAGCTGGGCATCCATGGTGAGAAGCCAGTATTTAACTGGCTGAGGAACGTAACAGCCAAAAGATGGATCTACTTTCAAAAATCACTTTTTTAGTTGGTATTCGATGGCAACAACGACAGCAGCAGTGATGATCACGAATGGTAAGGCACTTACTTTCTCTGTTTCTTCTCTAGAAGGTGATTCCGAGAATTTTGTTCTTCCAAGAGGAGTCGTAGATCGTTTGTCTCTGCTGTGAGTTTCTGGACCTTGCGTTTCCATTGTCCTACAACCTGCCGCTGTTCTTCTACTTCCTCAAATGCATCAGCCAACTGTAACAAATACAAACATGAACTGCAGTTGCTGTAATACTCTGAAGTCATTCACATTCACACTGCTTGATATTACAAACTACATACCTTTAAAAAAACTACTCTACACAAATTATTTGTCCTACAAAATATGTCCATATGAAATGGAAAAGTAAATAAAAAATTTGTTTTGCAATTTTAAAACAATTCAGTTTAAGAGGTTGCCAAGTATGGCACTTCTAACCAATGTCAACATGTTCTAGATGGTGGGCTTGTAAGCATTAAACCATGATTCACTATATTTCTAGATCTAACTCTTATGGTTTTAATTGTAAAGGGATATTTTGAAGATTATCATATATCTCATACCTGCCAAGTTAGTGTGATGGTCTGCAGCACTGAATCTTTGAATCCACTACATTAAGTGTACAAGAAACCTAGCAACAAGCTTCAAATTAATTCATGCATAATCTGGATATCAGCTACCAAGCATTCAAGTAATTAAAACAGTTCTTGAGACATTGTTTATATTAAGGAGCTGGGATAGACTCAGTCAGTATATCAATGCACTACTGACTAGACAGCCTGGATTCGATTCCCAGCAGTGCAAGACTTTTTCCCTTCTTCACAGAGTCCAGATCGATTCTGGGGTCCACCTAGCCTATCCAAAGGGCACCAGGGAACTCCATCCTCGCTAGTAAAGCAACAGGGGTCTGAAGCTGACCATTCACCTCCATCTAGTGCCAAGGTAAAGAATGGTGGAGCTAGAACTCCACTCCCTTATGTCATCATGGCACTTTGCTTAAAACTAATTAAGCATATGGATAATTTCACCTTTTACTGTTTGCATCAATACTAATATAAGTTTTGTAGGATAATTATTTCGATCAGAATAAAAAAAGTAAAGGTAGCCCTATAACAGGACGTGAAGGCCCATAGGGTTGTGAGATGTTGATATTCCCAAATTTTCTCTAGACAATTGGCTCACAGATAGCAGTGAGGTTGTCAGCCTTACATGCTGGCCACCCTTTATCCCCAAAAATATTCCTGGTACTCATTTCTGTTAGAGGTTGAGTCGAACCCAGGGCCATAGTGCGGCTGGAAGGATTAGGTAAATTGAAAAAAAAAATCCACCTCATTGGAATTCGATCCCGCAACCTTCTGGCTTGTAGCATAATGCCTCAATCAACTATGCTACATTTTAATCGGAACATGAATTTAAAATTGCATATATCATTTGTAATAATGCTGTATACACACTGACCACAGTGCTTTCCATTGTGCCTTCCCCCCAAATTGGAAACCTAAACATTTGTTACGATTCCGCTAAGGGGCTGTCCACCCACCTTTTTCTCAAGCTGTTTCTTAAGACCAACAAGTTGCTCCAGATCATCTTCATGCTGCTGCTGTAGACGACGACGAGTGAACTCCAATTCACGGACAGTACGTTCATACCGCTGCTTGTACACACCAGCATCCTCTTCACACTCACCATCTTCATCTGAACCCACCCCACCATTTACATCTGAAGCCCTCATATACAGTAACTCCATCTCCAGTCGCTCTGTAGCTTGCTGAAGATTTTTGTTTTCAGACTGCACAATAAGCATAAAACACATAAATGTCAAAGAAGTAATCAGTGGCATGTTTGCACATTACAAATAACAACAAATATTTCACTCTTCAGACTGAAAGTGTCCAATACAGCAGAAGCTACAATTTCTAACACAAGAGGGTTGCTGGACAGTACAATTCTCAAGATTAAAATGTTATACCTAACGCATATCTTAGTGTATCTAGCAACACCATGGATAGATCTAACCACTTAATTTATCCCTTGATATCCTGTTCTGTTTTCTCTGCCGCACTCTCTACTCCCTTTTTGTCACTACTATGTAATGTGGTGTACTCGTATATATAATCTAAGAAAAACCAAAAAGACATCAGTATTTCATTCATTCATCATTATATTCACTCTTAATTAATTTCTGGTCAACAGAGCTACAAGTGTTAAATAAAAATTTTATATGCAATTTTTCCAGTAATGATTCTGTAATTCACAAGGTCTCAATTCGTACAAATCTTGCAATTATTTTTCTGTCCAAGATGTTATAAAGACTACAGATCATCAGAGATTATATCTAATAATACATTTTACAAAAAAAAATATATTATGATATTCCACTGTCATACAAAAGGCCCATAAAAATTAGCTACAAGAGCTATTATTAATCAACCATAAAATATACACATTAACAGAAGGAGGAGACTTTCTATTATGATAATCTATGAAAAATGATATTTACACTGTTGTATTTTATGGCCAATGCCTCCAGATAAGTATGTCCTTTGACAATGCTGAGCTCTGCCTGCCTGGCTGAGGTAAAAACAGGAATTTATATTCCTAATGGGAGCACCAAGCATACAGGATTTCCATTCTTCTCCGGGCAGGAGAAGAGGAGATGATGATGATGATGATGGCTGGCAATGGAATATGAATCAAAGTGCATGCACAGTATATAGACGAGTCTATAATGACACACATATCTGGTTTGCAAAAATAGAGACAAGATAACATGAACAGTGGTGACACAGCACTGTGATATCCATCTCACCTGTACATCCTGCAGTTCCTTCTCCAGCCTCAACCGATCGGCTGTCTCAGCCTCCAGCCGCTCAGTGGCAAGCGTTGAGGTGGAGTGCTCCTCTGCCAGATCAGCTGTCATCTCACTCAGCTGCATACAGTAGCAATATCAACAGAGACATGCAGTTAGTAAGCGCACCACCACACAATCTGTATAGCACCATACCTCTCAGGGTCCAATTACACCATGCATTGAATTTGGGACACCACTGCATTAACTGTATAAGAACCCTAGCAAAACGTTTGGAATAAATTCATATACAGTTAGGTTTCTACCGTGGCTATAATATAAAATTTCAGGAGAACTTAAGAGGAATTTTATGTCTTTCTAACAGCTTCACCAGCATGATAAATTCTTCTTGTGTGGAAAAGGAGTATAATATTTTCATTCTGCAATATAAAAATTATCATCCATCCCTAATTTAAACAATATAAGAACAAGAATGAAAACGTGCATTCCATTGGGTTATACCTACTCTTCAAATGTAAGATTTCTAATTTTGCAAATCTCACTGGACTGGTTGTTCAGTTACTACAGGTATGAATATATTGTTGCAAAGTTAATAACACTAAATATATTAAACTGAAAACAGTCGGAAATTATATTTCTTGTATTTCCTTAAACATTTACAATTTAAAAAAAGTTCCAAACAAAAGTTGCTTTACATTTTATTGCCCGACACTAATGTTTGGTATGATAGCCAACTGACAATGTTCAGTATAAGCTTCAAGCAAAATGGATATATCAAACCCATATAAGCCAAAACTGAAATCAGGTGAACAAACTGAATGAAATGTAATTAAGAAATTCCAAATACGAAACATGTGGACAGCAGATACTGTTTCTCCTGTAGGTCCTTAACTTTTAGAATTTTTGCATAACAACACACAAAACTATAATTAGCTTAAATAGTCACTGATGTTGGAACCAATCATTATGGCTGAATAATTTTGAAATGGAAGAGAACAGTTTTTACTCCATTAAGAGTTCAAATGGGCCATGCCATAGCTCAGGTGGTTACTTGCTTGCTTCTCACTGCAGCGGCCCAGGTTAGAGCCTGGGTTTCATCATATGGGACTTGTGGTGAACAAGGTGGTGTTGGGGCAGGATTTTTTTGGTTTCCCTTGCCAATTTTCATTCCACCAACTGCTCCACAATCACCATCATCTATCATCTGTGGCTGGTAAAAAAAGGCCAGTAGTGGCCACAGTACCAAGTAGACTCAGTTTCACCCCACTAAGAAGAAGAAGAAGAAGAAGAAGAAGAAGAGGAGGAGGAGGAGTTCGATTAAGAGGAAAATAAACAAAGCTTATTAAAGTATGGTCATGAGATAATTCTGGCACGTAGCGATTGTATAATATTATAACCATTAACATATTTGTTTATGACAAGAACTAGGACAGGCTTGAAAACAGGATGAAATTGAAATGTTAAATTACGAGCCTGCACACACAAATATATAGATTCTCTGGCAAAGCAAAATGCACTCAGCCATCTGAAGCTGGCCTAACAAGCTGTGTGATTCCAAAGAGAAAATGTGCCACATTTAGCTTCCTGGGTCAGCTGCTAATGGCAATGAACAATCACTTCTTCTTTTCACCAATAACTTTCTGTATTTAACTCTGCATCTCAAGACTAGAATGAGCTAGTGAAATATAAGTATTATATATAAAAGCTATAAAATGTGGTGCAGTATGAGGTGTACTAACTGAAATATGAGAACTGAAGACAAAAAAAAAGCATGACAATATTTTTAACATGAAACATAACTTAATGGCTATCAACAATTAAGGATTATGCCATGTGACTTGTTCTGGCCTGAACTCAGTCTGTTCATCACATTCAAGGGCATCCTAAGCCTTTCCTTCCAATAGCTGAACACTGAAAATTTGTTTTGGTATCCCAAAACATGGCACTATCAGAAGATGGTTCATTCAATTTTGGCAGTAATCTATTATTTTTCTGTTTAAATGAAGTATTTCTTATTCTTTCCTTACATCCATTTTTTGCTAATGGTCCATGGTTACCTGTCAAAGGAATTTCATTTCAGCAACTTGTATATTATTTTATTGTCTATTAGTCATAATGTCCACATATCACTTCCGTACATTAGGTTATGTACTTTCATTTGTTTGTATAGTTTCACTTATGACACCTTTCTTGATTTATTACAAAGCCAAGATAGGACACATAACTAACGATTCTGAAAACTAAACACCTTTTCTTATGAAAAAATCAGGAAGAACTATACATTTTGTTTTTAACACTGGTTTTCCTATGAGGATTACTTTAAATCAAAGATAACCAAGGACTAGGGCAGGAACCATAATAATGAAGCAGGATAGCCAGTTTTTACACTGGCGAGGTGAGGCCACTGCAGCAGCGCCATCAGTGTCAGTCTTGAGCCAACAGATTTATTGGAAAGAAGAAATGGCTGGAATCCCCCTCCCCCCAATTTATGTGTTTTTTTTTTTTAGTTCAAGAGTTTAAATGGTTTCTTCTCTTTATTTGTTTTTGGACACTATGAGAGATCTGCTTTCTAAGCTTCCCTTAGTATATATAACACTGTCAGCATATAAGTTTTCTTAACAGAAATCAAGCCCAATTTCATTCAAAATACACTTATTAGCTTTAAACTTACAATACAAAAACAAAACAAACTCCTTGGTTTTGGTCCAAAAGCGAACTATACCGAGCGACCACCACTTGTCAGCGAAGTTAGTACCAACTTCAGCAGATAGAGGGCGTTGCATGGTCAGCACAATGTGTCTCCACAAGCGTTAATTTCGGTTTTCTAGATTGGAGCCGCTATTTCCTTGAAATAGCTCCTCGATTATCCTCACAAGGCTGAGTGGACCCTGCTCCAGACCTGCTGCTTTTCAGAAACTATGGTAGCGCCAGGAATCGAACCCAGGACCTCTGGATTTGTAGCCAGAATCTCTGGCCACTAGACCACAGAGGTGCAAAATGTCTGTCAGCCTACTACAGAGCTAGAACAATACTAATATTTTATGACATAATTTGAATTGCCTGTCATATACAGAACACAGGAAATTACTAATCTGTATAATGCCATTATCTGCCTTGCCCAAAACCAAGTCAAAACTCATGAAGATATTTATCATGCATCATTACTGTTATTATAAAAAGGGGAATCATGTGGACTCAAATGTAGAGGCATGTCAGACATGACTGCAACAAGATTCTAATGTATTATTCTAATCACCAAATATCTTGTATGCCTGATGGTTTTATGAAAAGTTATCTACTCTCAATAATGAAAACACACTGCAATCTATTCATATTTCTTTCAATAACACGAAATTTATTCATGGCCACACTGTAACACGAGAACTTTTAAAATTAAATTGATGTAAAGTAACAGGAAAAATACAGAATGCAGGTTGGGTCAGGAATGATAAAAAAAAATCCTGGACAGTAACAGGTTATGTTCATGTCTTATAAATACAAATTCCTCTTTCTTAAAAAGAGCAGCAATTGATGAAACTTAGGAATATGTTTGTATGATGTTTATCTCTTTTGCTACGGAAATTATCAACAGCTCAACAAGAAACGATCTGTAAATTTAATGTTAACTTCCACGGAGGATTTTGAAAATTGCATGAAAAGGGTTAAGTAGAATTACATCCCTAATGAATGGCATTCCAGTACAATTATAAACTTACTTCAGAACTTGCAAGTAAATTTAAACGGTCACAATTTTCAATGAATAATAGCTGTATATCCAAATTTCCCACTGTACTTTTACAAAACAGAAAGACATACTGTGTAAGCAACTGAAATATTTACAGAGATCAGGCGTGTATGAGTAGAAAGCAATCAAAAGCACAATTTCCTGAGAAAAATGTTAAATCACTATAAACATGCTCTAGCAGATGTCAAACTCATCCCTTCTGCCTTGGCCCACAAGAATTTACCTCGTCAATTTCTGAAACTGTGTCTCCTTCAGACATATGTGTTACGCTGGATGAGCGAATACTGGCACTGTTAGTCCTGCTGTACAACTGAAAACCCTTGATAAGAATATTAGTAGCACTGCGGCTTCTTCCAATGTAGCTGTCTTCTCCATTCTTGTTGGGAAGCGTGGCCAGTGACTGCATATCAGTATCCTTTCTGCCTAGTCTCTTCCATTCCTCCATCACATGATCTGTCTTACGAAGGAAATCTCTGATCTTGGAGGACAGTGCTGATGATGCTGTTGAGGACTGAAGATGGGCAGCTCTAGGTTTGAACTGTTGTCTTACTGCCTGATTCTTGACACCCATCACAAAGCTCATTCCTGCATCAAACACCACTGGAGCATTTTCTTTACCTTCCAGCTCATCTGAATAATCTATTTTGGCACTTGTCTGTGGAAACATTCGTCTCGGAAAGCTTGTCTCTGTATTTGTCATGGAGCAAGACTTGCTTGCGCTGCTAATGGGTGAGGGTGAACGACAGTAGACATAGCTCCGGTTAGGTGATAAACCAGGTCTCATGTATCTACTAGGTGGCATCACTTTATTTGCTGAATATTCACTCCATGGTGATACTAGCCTAGTAGTTGAATATTCCCTCATTGGTGGTAGCATCCTACTGGACCTAAATTCACTTGCAGGTGAAAATATTCTGAATGAAGGGTGTTCTCTTGTTGGTGAATATGCCTTGTCCTGAGCTGGAGACAGCACTCTACTTCCTGGCAACTCCTTGGCGGGAGACACCTCACTGGTAGGGGAATACACCTTTGTAGGTGAGACACTCCTGGTGGGAGACAACTCTCTAGTAGGGGAAAAGATCTTTTGGGGTGAAATTACCCTTGACGATGAAACAGAGCTGGGGTATACAACACTGGTTTGAGGTGGCGTCCTGGAGGCTGAAGCAGGCACATGTGCTCTCTCGGTTAAACTTATTGCCTTATTAAGAATTCCAGAGAATGTACTCTTATTACTTTTGACTTTATCTGGGATACCTCCAGTGGTTGATGCTCGATTTATTGGCAGCAAAAAGCGCCTATTTTGAGGCTGGACTGTAGAACTGGTGGGAAAGGCACTGTTATTGTCAACAGTTCCAGCACCAAACCGAGAAATTCC